GGTCACTATGGAGGATGCACAATGGCCCCCACAGGCCTCTGTATTTCAATACTTGGACTATTTGGGAAGGATCTGGAGATTAGCCTCATTGGAAGAGCCGTGCCATTAGGGGTGCCTTTGGGGTTTCAAAAGCCATTACCGGGTAGCTTCTTTTTCCTGCCTCTAATTTGTAGATTGGGATATAAGTTCTTGGTCCCTGCTCCCGCACTCCACCGGCTTGTCTGCGGTCATGCTCTTGCCGAGCTGCTCATGGACTCTAACCCTCTGGAAGCGTGAGCCCCAATAAATACTTTCTTTTATAAGTTGCCTTGGTCATGGCGTCTCTTCACAACAATAAAAAAGCAATCGTCCAGATTCAGAAAGCGTTGCTCAAGCTCAGACTTTGTCCTTTTCATTCAGTCTAGGACCCCAGCCCATGGAATAGTACTGCCAGGTTCAGAGTGGATCTCCCCTACTATGTTCAGCTTTTCCTGGAAACATCCTCATAGATAAAGACAGAGGTTGCTTCCAAAGTGATCCTCAAGCCAGTCGAGCTGAAAACACACAGCTGTGAACAGCCACACAGAGAGAATGGAATAGAGACCCCTGAACCCACACACATTTGAAGTATATGCCTCAGTGCACACCTGGAAGGGCATTCATCCCAGCTAGCTGTGTCCCAGGAAAGGCTTTATTTCAAATGCTGACATGTGCTCCATAATTAATACTGAGGCACGTGACAGACCACGTGCCTATGTGACAGTGACTCTGTAAATGCTGTGACAAAGCTGAGGGACTCCTGCCACTTAGGGACACGGTGGTCTGTGATCATTCTAAAAGTACAGTGTAGTTCATGACTCATGCTTATACACCCCCACCCCCACACACCACATACCCCGTAGCCAGCTGCATAAAAGTAGAACATAGACAATTATGCATGTTGCTCAAGTAGGTGTGGCCTTGTGGAAGAAGTGTGCCATTGTGGAGGCAGGCTTTGAGGTCTTGTGTATGCTCAAGCTGCACCCAATGAGACAGTCTACTTCCTGTTACCTGCATGTCAACAGGTAGCAGCTCCTTCTCCAGCACCATGTCTACCTACATACTACCATGTCCCCCTAAGATGATAATGGACTAAACCTCTGAAACTGTAAGCCACCATCTCAATTAAATGTTTTCTTTTAATAAGAGTTATTGTGGTTAAAGTGTCTATTCACAGCAATAGAAACTCTAACTAAGACCATAACCCCAATAAAACTCATTGACTCACCAAGTTGGACCTTGGTGGTATCCATACTTTGGTCTGCTGTGGGTCCCCTATCTAGGGTGAGTAGATGCGTGTGCTGAAACCACCCCGGGGGAAAAAGCTTTTCAGACAGCATCTGTAAGGCTTGCTTCTTTATAATGAAAACAAGCATGGAAAGATATGGACTAGCAAGGTTGTTATAAAAACTGAATGAGACTACACCATAGGCAACACTCTCTGTGTGGTATCTAACAACATAACGCTTAGGTTAAATGTATCCTTCAAGACCAATACAAGCAGAAATCATACTATTCAACGAAATAAGCCAGACTCAGCAAGATTAATCTACGTGTCGTTTCTTACATGCAAGATCTAGATTTAAAAGCATACATGTTTGTATGTATGTTTATGCATATAAGATAGGGAACTGGAGAGGGAACCCTGAGAAAGAAGAAAGAGATCCTGACATAGCCAGAAAATACAGAGAGTAATGGAATATTTGTGGGGAGGAAGGAGAAGGGGAGACTAGCTTGACAGATGGAAGGGAGCCAGTCAGCAGGAGGGAGGGGTGTGAGGAGAGGGGAGGAAGGAACAAATAAGAAGGAAGGCTAATGATACATGTGTACGAAGATGCCGTGATGAGACACACGGCTTTGTCTTCCAATCTAAAAATAAATTAATCATTTTTTAAAAAAGATGAAATGGAGCCATAGGTCAGAGACTCATTTAGACAAATTGCAAACATCTGATTTCTTAATCACAGCTAGAACTATCTGAGAAATGAACACCCAGCATTGGGCCAGGCTCTCTCCGTTCCAACTCACGTTCTGGGGCAAGCCTGACTCTACTGTGATCTCTACCCTAGATTTATTTTGGAAACACACAACGGTGTCCAGACAAAACCACAACATCCTGTGTTCCCTGCTGCCGGGGTCACCATTCTCAGAACAACAACAGCTGAGCTGGAAAGACCAACAGGGAACATTAGTGAGCAAGTCTGCCCCCCATGTGGGGCTAAAGGACACCCCAGTGAAATCTCCAGGTTCCGGAAGACAGATATCTGCTTTGATACAAGGAGTTGGGGGAAAATCTTAAAAATAAACAAGCCTGAAGAGATCAATGGTCAAGAAGCAATTCTTGCAGATACTAAGAAGCTCCAACCATAAACAATAAGCAACTGACAGTCATAACTCAGACCCAGCCCAAAATACACATGAACAGAGGCACGCAGAACATACTCAGCTCTGAAGAGTTATGGAGGTTCTGAAAATCAGGCAAGCATACATTTCAGTTGCCTTCAGTTCATCCTGAGGATATATTCACTATCCCTGTTTATTCATGGAAGGCGCACTACACAGGCATTTCACTGCTACGAGACTTCACCGCCACTGGGAAACTTCTTCCACTGAATAATACTTCTTCAAAAAGCTGAAGTTAGAAAAAGTTCCCTCTAAAGTTACTATTAGTGAGGCAGTAGTTTCAAGAGCATTCTCCATTTTTTAAAAATATTTGCTTTTGAAAATGCTGTATTAGTGATAGCACTGTTTAAAAGGCATTAGATTAGATCCTGCAAAGAGACAAAGGTTGATGGGAGACAGCTAGACCTCTGAAGGCATTTTATATGTTTTAAGATGTCTAGAGGGAAAATGTAACTGTAAGGAACATAATAATGATAATAATAAGACAGTAATTATTAAGCTTTTACTCTGGACCAATAGGCTTTTGTATGGTGTGCTTCATATCACCCTGAGACAGCCTCTGCCCCTGCTGCAGTTGCGGGAGCTCCGTTTCACACAGTTGCAGTGATTTCCTTCCAGTTTATAGCAATAACTGAACCAAAATTTGTGAGCTGTGTAACCACTACACACAGGGCATGAGGATGAAGGCTCAGATTTCCTGCCATTTCTGAATGTCAGACTCCTCGACAACAGTTTGGCTTTCACAGTCAGATGGGGCTCGCAAGGGTCAAGTGCAGTTTTTGTTTTAAGATGTGCCTGCTCTGGACTCTGCTAGCAGCCACGGACGCTTCACTCAGAGTCCGCCTTTTCACCTGCTCACGTCTCATTGGCTGTTCCCCTGTTCCCAAGGTCAAAGATACCTGAAACTTTGTACTCCACCCTGGTGTGATGTTTGAATACGGCTATCTCATTACTTGATTGGATTTGACATTCAGCTGTATTTGTGTGTCAAGCATAGAGACAGACACAAGTAAGTGCTTAATACGAATTATTATTTGGGATTAATGATGATTTCTCAATGGCAGAATGAGTGGGTTTCTGTTTCTTGTGCCTTTTTATGGACTCATCTCTCTGCGTGTTTGTTTCATCAGGTTCTAAGGTGTCAGTCTTTGTTTTGTCTTATATTATATTTTATTATTGTCCCATAGAAGCCAGTTTGTTTCCTAATGAGAAACAGAAAGGGAGTGGATCTGGATGGGATAAAAGAGTGAGATAGAGCTGGGAGGCGTAGCGAGGAGAAATCCATAATCAGAATACATTATGTGGGAAAAAATTATTTTTAATAAAAGACAAATATATAATATGTATAAATATATACTACATATGAAAGCTTCTACAGTAATAGGCTTCAGTTTTTAAAATATACATATATATGATATATATCACCTTAAATTTTTCATAATTACTTCAGTAAGTTGAATGCTATATTTTAAAAAAATCAGAATTTAAAAAAAGCCTGAATTTTGAGTATCTATGTTAAAAATGGCTATTTAATATCCCCTATAGATTGGAACACATTATTTTCAGTGCAGAGTACTGAGTCTTGGACTTCACCCAACCTAGTAAAGTCTGGTTCTCTGAGCTCTAGCCTAGCTGCCCTGTGACTTTTCACTTTGAAAGTTTTACTGTGCTGTCCATTCTAGCCTTGATCTTACTCCATAGTTTAGGCTAAACTTTCAAATCTCCTCCTTCAGCCTCCCAAGCAGGTGGGATTACAGGTGAGTGCTGCTGTCTCCAAACACGCTTTTCCTAGAAAGAATATAATATAGCATTGTTGGATATTTAAAAGAAGGTTGATGGGGCTAGGAGAATAGGTCTTCAAAACCTTGGCTTCCAGCCCACTCACCATGAAAAAGATGAATTGTTATAGAACATAGCCGTAACCCTGTGTCCTCAATATGAAATGATCATTCTATGGAACTCTCTAGTCTCTGACATGCTTAATGCCATCATGCATGCTCTGTCTGACATATTTGATAGTGCCATGCATGCTGATGTGTTTTGTCTTTTTCCCATTACATGATGAGTCACTTTTGATCCTTGTTCATTACTAATTGCTCCTGTATCATTAAATATTTAGACTGATAAGATATTTTGTCTATTTAATACTATCAGTTCTGGGTGTAACAACCTCAATATGTTAAAAATTTTATCTACAATCAGCTCCTCAGAGGGAGTTACAATGTCAAAATACTTAAACATTTATTCATCTCTTGATGGAAGATGGGTCTTTAAAAAAATATGCACTGTTAATCTCAGTACTAGAGAGGTAGAGGCAGGTGGATCTCTGTGAGTTCGAGGCCAGCCTGGTCTACAGAGCGAGCTCCAGGACAGGCTCCAAAGCTACACAGAGAAACCCTGTCTCGAAAAACAAACAAACAAAAAGTTATACAAACCCTTGTCTTTGTTGACTTCCTTCCAATTCCCATAAACATTCAACTTTTGGGGAAGGGACACCATTTCTTTGAACAGAGTTCAGGAAATCCCAGTCCCAGCTGTGAACGTCCCCTAAGACCTGAGCACCATCAGGCAGGACTTACCTTCTGCCGTCCCGCTGCCCTTCTTCCTGCTGTTGTGAAGAGGCAGCACCTCCAAGGCCGAGATGCCCGACCTCTCCAGAACGTTCACCTCCACAGTCAGCCGCCCCACCAGCTGCTGGGGGCGCACGCTGATGGAATGCTCATATTTCCCCAGCCTCCTCTGCAGAAGTTCCTCATAATTGAGGAGGAAAGCGGCTTTGTCCTTGCTGGGAATCACTAAGGAAGCTCTGAACATGTCAGCACCCTTCTCCCTGTTAGGAAGTAGAAATGGATCACAAATAAGCTCAGGGGATGGAAAGTCTGTTCCCTTCTCAAGATACCTGGCATACTTGCCAAAGAGACTCTTAGACTGAGCCCTAAGAAAAGAGAAAGGAGAGTTGTGAATGTTCTTCAAGGGTACAGTGTTTGCCCAGTGAGCAGAGGCCTAAATTCAATCCAAGTATCATTTTTAAAAAATTTTTAAAAAAAGAAAAGAAATTTTAATTTGGGAAGAAGTATAGACCTATACTAGAAAAAGGCTGCTGTCATGGTTTGATCTGAAGTGCCCATCCCCCATAGGCTTCTGTGTAGGGCACTTGGTCATCAATCAATGACACTGTTTTGGGGAGTTGTGGAACCTTTGAGTTTAGATACAGGAAGTAGGTTATCAAGGAAAGATCGCTGAAAGATAATAGCCCAGCTCAGTTTCTGGTTAGCTTTCTCTGGTCCTGATGATGCCACGTGGGGCGCCCCACCACAAACTCCTACTTCCCAGACAGTGGTTCCCACCGTGTCCCTTCCCTATTGCCCCTTCCCTATTTCAAAGCGTCACATAGTGATGGATGTAACGCTTTGAAACCAGGAGCCAAATAAATCCTTCCTCTCCTCATCTGCTTCCTCAGATTTGTCTGTTTGCCTCCTACCAAGGGCCAAGGAATACTGAGTAGGAGAGAATTCAAATCTGGCCACCTCCCTTAACTCGCCCTGAGACAGACCAGTGAGATGCTATAAAGAGGACTGTTCAGAGGCGAATTGTTGGAACAGTGAGCGTGGACAAGATGCGAACGGGCTTCTCACTGTTACAGGTGTGGCCAAGAAAATGTAGACATCTTATATAATTGTAAAGTCCATAATACATCACAGTTTCGCACCTTGGTAATTGTGTTTGTCAGTAAATAAAGTAAATAAATGACTATGGAAGTTATAACAATACTATCCATGGCAAATATTTTCAGGACTTGGTGTTCGGGTTGTCTGTGTTAAGGTGATAGAATACCAACAGTGGTTAAGACGCTCAAGAACAGTCTAAGAAAAATGTGTGTGTTGGGGGAAGAATCCTTTAAACAAGAATTCTACAGCTCAGAACATTCTGGAAGAAGCTGCAGAAAGAAGAGACTCAAACTGTTGGGAGAAACCTTAGCAAAATTGCAAGCTCTGAATTTGGAAAAAATATATCAGAAAAAGAATTTTTACAAAAGGGACCAGCCAGGAGAGACCATTCCAGTTCCCATAGGAAAGGCTCACTGTACTCCCTCCTGGAACTGGAAAGAGAACCAAATACTGAGCCAGAAGTTTCACCCCACACTAGGTAGATAAAATGGAAAAGAAATGACGGCAGAACCCATTAAAGTAAAACAGCAGAACATGTGATGGAGGGATATGGTGAAGGAATGGTATTAGATCACCTTCACTCCATCTCTAGTAAAACCAGAGTTGATTACACAAGACACTGGAAGAGTAACCCAAAGTTCAGAAGGAAAGTTGTTTTCATCTTAAGTTCCACTCACAGCCAAAATATTGAGCCAGGTCTCCAAAAGTTTGTCTGTCATGCACCATGCTGAGAAAGTTACTTCAGAATATACTTCCAACAAAGATGAGAACCGTACAAGAGGAGGATGATATGGAATTAAAGAAATAAAAAAAAAAATCACACAACCAAAGGGAGATCCCAGAGTAGACGTTTTACAGCAGAGCTGCAAAACAAAAGCAGTATGTTGCAAAGACAGGACCTGGCCGTGTTTTAGCAGTTTATGGAACCAGAATTTGCCCTCATCTTTCATTTGTCTTGTAATTGATGTTGGCCAGGCATCCAGGGTGTGGGCTGATTGGATGTCATCGTATCCAGAACCCCGGTTATAACTATTCATTTTGTTATTATTTCAAACAAACTATGTGTCTTCATAGATGCTAAAAGTGACAGAATTAAATTCTATCTCCTAAGAGAAAAAGAAAAGCAATTAGAAATTCCAGGGCTTATGGTTCAACTAAATTAAACAGTGCCACCATCCTGAGCAATTCTGATAGAGACAACTCGGGACAAAGCTGTAGCTTAGCAAAGCGAGCGTTCAATAACTTGCTGCACCAAGGGAGATGGCATCCAGACGCGTTGTGCAGCCTCCCACCAAACAAAGAGATGGAGCATAGGATTGTGGGAAGGGGGAAGGGGAGAGGGTAGGTAAAAGTTCAGCCAGTAATTGTTTGAACAGACTCAAAGCAAGCAGGGTTGTGTGAAGCCATCAACGTCACCTTGATTGGAATGCTTCACCGTTCTGTGTCCTTGGGAACTGTAATGTTGGGATAAATGTGGAGTAGTCTATCCGTATCTCAATATCTGGGCTGGCTTTACTTTTCAGAATCAGAGGGAAGCCAAGACTCAGGTCTTTCACACAGAATGAGCCCCTCCGTTCTCACTGATGGCATTTCTGACTACCAAGTCCTGTGACTTTTGAAAACTAGTGTTTCCCAAACAATGTCCCTTTGTGAGTGAACAAAATCAGGTTTACAAATATGCAACCTTTTGTCTAGATACTAAAATGGCTTTTCTGTGGAGAGGAAGGGAACCTTCCAAATGGTCCAAGTGGGGGAGGGGGTAAAGTCTTTGTGTACTAGGTAGTACCTGTCAATATCTGTTATCATTACAAGGAAATGCTGGGACTGGAAAGATGGCTCAGTGGGTAAAGCGCTTTCTGAACAAACACGAGGACCTGAATTCAAATCCCTAGCACGGACAGAAAAGCCAGGTAAGGCTGTGTTCACCTGTAATCCAGGCATGAGGTTGGGGAGACAGAAGTCTCCTCAAGTGATCACTGGCAAGCCGGTCTAGCCAAAACAGCAAACTTCAGTGAGAAATCCTTTCTCAAAAAACTAGGATATCTGAAGTCATCCTCCGACCGTCACACACTCACTTACATGTGAGTGCATACACACACACACACACACACACGCATACAACAGTCACCCATGAAAGTTCGCACACACACACTTAAGAGCATAGGTAGATTGTTGGTTTCGAAGAATGCAATTATCATTTCAGACCAGAATGTATATGTTAATCATTCTGAGAATGCAAACATACATTATATATAACAAACAATGGGCACAATAATTAAGAAGAGACAATGTGAAGGGTAGAGAAGACTATTATCATTTAAGATGTTGGAGATAGCCTAACACAGTCTGCTGATGAAGAAAGAAAATTACATTATAAAATTTTAGCTTTAAAAATGGTGTTAGGGAACCCTGACTGCTCTTAGGACTAGAGAGGGAAGGGGAGGTGGGGAGGGGGAGGGAAAAGGGAGGCGGGGAGGAGGTGGAAATTTTTAATAAATAAATAAATAAATAAATAAATGGTATTATAACTTCATAGTGGAGTTTGTAGATAGTATTTTGTTTCTATGAAGAAATCAATAAAAAATCATAGAGTTAGGAAGGTAACCAAGAAGACAACTGTACACAGTTTTTAGAAATACATATTCTAGAAAGCAAGAGAGAGACATAGACACAGTAAACCTCCCTTATTACTATAGGTGTTTGTTGTTGCATTTTAATTAGGTATACTGATCATTTTGATTAAAATAAAAAAAACATTTGGAAAAGAGAACCGCTGGATAAGAAGGTAAATGAAGGAACTGTTTGTTTGATTGGATTCTAGTTGCTTCACTAACGGGTACTTACTCATTATTGTCTGTGCTTTTGTTTCTTGTTTCTTCTAGCCTACCACGGCTTTTCTTGGCTTTCTCTACAATTTCACTCTGATACACTTTGTCTCCGATAAGCCTAAAACACAAGACACAGCTGTGTGTTACCAGCTCCGAGACAAACTCCAGCACAGATCTGAGCGCCGCGACAACCCCAGGAAACGCTTGCATGTGCCTCCTGGGCATGCAGACAGAATGCGTTTCAAACTCAGCACCAGTCTTGAAGCATACATTCCACTCAAGAGCAATTTTCATCAAGACCAAAGGGCAGCACCCCAACCCAGGGTACCTCCATAATTCTAAAGGAGAAAAACCTGAAATCTCAAACTCCCACAGGAGCCCAGCAGGTTGTAACTTTCCCAGATCAAAAATTAAACACAAAATATCTGCCATAGTTATAACTCTATTTCTTGGATCAGAATAAGAAAAAATATACTTGATCTAATAGGTCTAAGGTTTTATACTATCTCACTCTTCAGGTCTCAATTTAATCATAGCCCTCTCTAATCTACTTCCCCTAGTTCCCATGCCAATGGAGCCCTTCTTGACAGGCATGATGGTAATAATTATAATACCAGCCCTCAGGAGGCTGGGATGTGAGCAATGAGTTCAAAGCCAGCCTGGGCTACACAGTAAGACTTTGTCTCAGAAAACACAAATGAAAGTCCCTCTCAATCTTTATACTGAAGAGTTCACTGCCATCTAAAATGATCTCATTTGCTAATTCATTTGTTTAATTACTGGCTATTTCTCCTTCACTGGAATTTCTAGAGCAGAGTAATGTTCTCCTTCCTTATGCCAATACCCTCACAGAGTGCCTGTCCTAGAGTGGGCATGAAGGATGGAGAGAAGAAAAGGAAAGAGGGGAAGAAGGAAAGTATAAGACGAAGAATGAAATGAAAGAAAACAAAGGAGGAGGAGAAGGGATGGAGAGGAAGAGTGAGAAGGAAGCAGGAAGAGAGAGAGCAGAAGGAAAGCATGCAGGCAGCTCTTTGAGTCTTAGACCACCTGCAGGATATGAACCCTCACAGTTTGATGAGCTACGGACCCCACGCTCTCTCAGGTTCACCTTGACCATCTGCAGACCACTGTCTACAGCACTTACATGGTGAAGTTGGTGATGAAGGCTGCTTCTGGAATCTGCATCTGGAACTCAACATCCTGGTCCTCAGAAGCTCTGTTGAGCATTCTGCAGGACACTGTGGTGAAGGCATAGCGAGAAATAATGGTCGACTTCACCGAGAACTCCGTCATCAAGGGCTTGGCTTTCTGCGGGAGTTAAAATGCACACTCTTTTCAGGGATTCGTGAAAACTGATTCGAACACTTGAGATTAGTAGGCGTTGAGTCTTTTCCCACATGGGAAATAATCTCCAACTTGAGAACCTTTGGAATATGAGTCCTCTGCCCTTTCTGTATCTTGTCCTTAATTCTCCATTTTAACTCACTTCACTTGTAAAACCAGCTCTTATTGAAAAATCGATTCATGATGTAGAACCAACTGTTCAAAACTAATTTTAGCCAAGCAATGGTGGCACATACCTTTAATCTCAGCACTTGGGAGGTAGAGGTGGGCGGATCTCTGAGTTCGAGGCCTGACTGGTCTACAAGAACAAGTTCCAGGACAGTCAGAGAAACCCTGTTTTGAAAACAAAAAAGAAAAGCAACCAAACCAAAAAGAAAAATTTGATAAGAGGACACAATTTCCAGTGTAACAAAAAAAAGTCATGTTGCTTAAATAGCTCAACAAATCATTGAAATTTTAAAAGTATGTAGCACCCATAATTTGTGCTGCAAACTTTTAGATCACCGTACAGGACCACTTAGCTGACCACAGCTTCAGGTATGCTCAGATTTTCACACTTATTTCCATATTCACTCAGAGAAACTGTAGCCAAGGGCTTCCCCACCTGGATTACAGCTACATGATCATAAATGAGTTATTATAGAAATTAGTACCAAACTCAAGAGACTATCTAGAGATTTAGAACCTAGAAAAAAGAAAACCTAAGCTTGTGATAGTTGCATTTACCACAAAAGCTTCTTTCAAAAAATATTTTTTTCATGTGTATACATGTGCTGGCATGCATGGCATCATATATGTGGAGGACAGAGGTAACTTATAAAAGTTGGTTCTCTCCTTCCACCATGTGGGTGGAAGGGTTTGAGCTCATATCAGCGGGCTTGGAGGCAAGCCCCTTCATTGGCTGAGCAAACTTCTTGTAAGGGCAGTAGCTGCGGTGCAAATTTAAGAACTCAATAAAACTGTTCCTTGCTTTGTTTTTGGTTTTTGTAGCTACATCTGGTGACAGCTGGCAGTAGAAGTCTCCCAAGAAGGGAAACCTTTATGAGGAAATGCACTACTAACCTTGAGTCCTCACCCTTGCTCCAGGAACTGGCTGAGCAACTGACAGGATTATGGGTTGGTTGTGTGCCCCTCCCCTTCCAGTCTGGCTGTTGAAGTCTTAACCGCCCCTTGAGATGATATTCAGCTGGAGCTGGGTGACTTTGACAACAGAAAGTCCAAGGCCAGCATTTTGTCAGGGCTCAGTGTTGGGGCTCCCATCCCACATTGCAAAGAGTCAGGTTCAGATGTGTGTATGCATGTATGGCATTTTCAGTGAGTGTGTGTGTGTGTGTGTGTGTGTGTGTGTAAACAACACAATGAGATAGAGCAAGAGAGAGAGAGAGAGAGAGAGAGAGAGAGAGAGAGAGAGAGAGAAAGCAATGAAAGAGAGAGAAACAAAGTTCCAATACCTCTTCTTTCAAGGACATAAATCCTCCATCCTTACCATCTTGCCTAACTGTTCTTATCTGTCAAGACCACCCAAAGTATCGTATTTTATTATGAATATCCTAGTAGACAAGTCAGTCACCCCGTTTGGTCTTGGAACAGATGTCGAAAGCATCTCATTGTCACTCCATAGACTGAGGCAGCCAATCACACGCAGTGATGATCACATTGGTGATCACCTCTCAGACACAGAGACGGGACTTGCTTCTGCCCACCAGTATCTGGACATTCAACCCTTGCCCACTTAGTTTCTTTACAAACCTAGAGGCATTTCCCAAACACACATCAGACTGTGACAAGTTCATGGCAAGCATATTGGTCCCTGCTGGAGGAGGTGGGTAGACCCCTGTTTCTATGGAACTCTTTCATGGGCATCTGTTCCTCAAAATCAGCAGAACAAGCAAAAAAAAAAAAAATGTATCTGAGAAGTGGGCATGTATCATGCATTGTGAATACAAGAGGAATATAGACCCACGGGAGGGCACGCAGCAATGATCAGAGTCAAACAGGTGAGCAGGAACAGGAAACTTAGGTGTGCTCCACACAAGGGTGTCAGCAATACTCATCTTTTTATCCGTTTATAACAGGAACAAAGAGACTTCCAGACCTTATAGCTCTTGCGGGGAAAGGCTGACAACTAAATGGGGGAGATGAGAGGGTTACTGTGTCTCTCTGAAACAGGTAAAAGACATAAGATTGGTATGAAGTTTTGTTAAGTAATCATTAAGTGTGTGGGGAGGGATGAAGCATATTTGCAATAATTTTTACTTAAAGAAGAAAAGAAATTTCACGGTTTGGTCCCAAGGGGGAGTTATTTTTAAATAGTGATTCGGTGGGTGCCTTACAACTTAAACTCCTGGAAGCTGGGAGCTGGGATTAGGAGGACCACGTGTTAAAGCTGAAGGTCAACAGAGATGGGGAGGGGGCGGGGAAGGAGGCAGGGCAGAGAGTCGGGGGGGGGGGGTGTGCTTGTATATCCGTGTGTTATATCTACAAGTAAAGCAGTTTACAGAGCGTGTGTGTATTCGATTGTCACTTGTATGACAAGTGTGTCCTCGTGCCCCTGAACGTGTAGAGAAAACTGATGACCTAGTGGCAGAAAACTGAGTGGCTAGAGGGGCAGAACAAGGGCTTGGCTACTCCATGCTCTTTGTTAAATGAACAATGTGATTATACTCACTCAAAAACAAATAAAACTTGAATTTTTGTAATTACAGCATAAAACAACTCATTAAATTCAGCAAGACTTTTGCAGACTTCTATTGGAATTTCATTATATTTATCATTTGAGGAAAATTAATAATTATATGATATTCATTTCAATTTGTTCAGAGTCAATTTTGCCAATAAAAGGAATGTATCCCGTACTGGAAGAAAAAGAGTGAATACCTTTTGAAATATTTCTGCACCCCAATAAGCCTCTCCACTGATGCAGTAATCCAAATCAGATCAAATCAAACCAAATTTTTAAAAGCCTGGGTTTAATGGATGCCAACGCTCCCAGGTGGTCTTACAGCCCCCCCAAAGAGGAGATGGGGAAGGAAGACCAGAAAACCATGTGCTTGTTCTCTGGGGTACAATTTAAATACCCTGTGGGAGTGGTCTTGAGCATCTCTGGGGAGGGGTCATCGTTTGATGGGCTTTCTTGGAGGTGGAGTCTGGACTGAGGCAACTCCCAGGGGAGGAGGCTTGGGATGGAACTTCCACCCAAACATTCCAGACTCTTCGGATATATGGATGCCAGGGGCTGGGGTGAAACCTTAACCCAAACACCTTTAATCCCAGCATTTGGAAGGCAGAGGCAGGCGGATCTCTGAGTTCCAGGCCAGCCTGGTCTGCAGAGTGAGTTCCAGGACAGTTAGGGCTACACAGAGAAACCTGGTCTCGAAAAATCTAGGGGGAAGAAAACGGTTCCCAAAGTATTGTCCTCTCACCATCGATGTCACTAAAAACATATCAGGAAGACAAAGTCTCCACCTCACTCCAACTCCACAGATCCAGGAGTCTGGAGCTGTCCATCATAACAAGCAGCCCAAAGGGTGAGCGCTAACATTCTAGTAAATTACAGTATCTGCCTTCATCTGTGAATCGAGATGGCTTGAATAAGTCACTAAAATCACCTCCACTTCTGAGATTCGTGAAGCCCACGGTAAGCTAAAAATAAAAGATGCTTAAAAATTGGGATTCAAAAAATCACACCCCAATTCAGAAACAACTGCATTGCCCAACACTCTTTTATGACCATCTGGTCTCTCTGCGCAGAGGTGATTTGGATCCGAGAGAGAGTCCAGATGTGGTTTAACAAAATGCTTCTGTCAAATGATTTTAAAAGTCTTTAGTACGTTTTATAAAAACAAGAATTAGGCCAGAGAGAGTTGGCGAGAATGGTGGTCTCAGCAGCATGACGCCCTGCCAGGGGTATGAAAGTTAAAAGCTGTATCCCATCATCTTTCAAAGCAAAAACCCTAACTTGAAGCGTGAACCAAGATGAAGAGTTCCCTTTGATCTACGGCTGGAAACGGGTTTTCTTACTAAATTAAACATGATTAACTATATTCTTTTTCTCTCCAAATCTGAAGGCATGTAAGAGACTGTTCACAGCTGTGCGCTGGAGAATTCGTGAAAAGATGCTACTGCACACAGTTCTGCACTGACTCCCACAAATGCGCTAGGAAGAAAAGAGAAATTCTGTGGAAACCAAAGAACAAGTACAGGGAGCTAATTTTTTTTTTTAAAAAAATGGTTTTACTTAAAATTGAAACTGTATCTTGAAAAACTTTTCAAGTAGGAGACTCATTGGTTAAGAGGGCTTAGCACTCTTCAGAGGACACAGGCTCAGCTCTCAGCACCCATATCAGGCATCAGTCACCTGTAATGTGAACCCCAGGGAAACATGATACCTCCGGCTTTCACAAGCACTCACCTGCATAGACACATATACATAATTAAAAAAATAATTTTTAATGATAAAATCCCAGGGCTGGAAACATAGTTCAGCCATTAAGAGCACTGCCTGCTCTTCCAGAAAGCCCAGCTTTGATTCTCAGCACCCACATGTAGCTCACAACCATATGTAACTCCAGCCCCAGGGGATCCAACACCCTCTTCTTCCTACCTCAGGCACCAGGCATATGCACATACACAGACACGCATGCATCCATGCATTTAAATACCAAAATAATTGCATTTTTTATCAAGTATCATTTTGTATCAAGTCTGGTGTACATGGTTGAAACTTCAGATAACACCAAACATAAGGCTCTCCCTCCCACCCTGGATTCACAGCTCCACTCTCCAGATGTGATATTTAATGGTTTGGGGTCTACCCTTCCACAAATGGGTGCAGTACTCATATACTTAATTGTTGTCTTTTGTTTTTCTTTTCTAGTGACGTAATTTGCTCATCTTTATCTATAAATTCCAATTATCTTTGCAAAGAACAAACCTCCCTAGAGCTTGGTAGCTTAACAACTGTG